AGAAGGGGAGGGGGAGGCTGATAAACTTAGGGCCGGGGTCACTTTCTCGCCCGGCCCGAGGAGTTTGATCATTAGGAAACTTACACGCGGCCTTCGCCTGGCCGCCGGCCCGCCGGCCTGGACCGTTGGCCCGTGCCGCCGCCGTCGTCATCCGCGCCGAGTTCTGGGAGAGGAGGCTGGAGGCGCGGCCTGGGAGAAAAGTTCCGCCAGCAGCGGGCTGTATGAAGGGCGGAGGGGACGGGGTAAGTCCTCTGCGCCTATGAAAGCCAGTTCTTGTAGCACGAAATGCACCTGCTGCTGCAGAACTCGATTTTCCTGGGTCCTCAGCGCGGAAGTTGGCCTACCTGCCAGGCGGATGGTGGCCTACCTCTCGGGTGGATGGTTGGATGGTACCCACCTGGTTGCCGCCGCCGGTACGGTACCCCGACTACCTGGTGGCCGCGGGCGGCGCGCCCGCTCACGCGCGCTGTTGTTGTATCGGCGCTGCCCTGTAAAGCCCTGCAACAGCCCCGGAGCCCAGCCAGCGGCACTTGTTGCAGCTGCGGCGCTCCCAGGAGGGAGGAGAGAAGGTTTGGGAAGAACAGACCTTGGTGGGGGGGGGGGGAGAGTTGGGGAACCGAAAAAGTGTGGAGCCCCCACGGCAGAGAGAGCGTGAGGGGGGAGGGAGGGCAGAAACTGGTTCTGGGAAGAGCGCGGCTGTGTACGTCGCTTTAATGTTTGTCGACGCAAATTGCAGCGCGCGCGTGTCGTTTATTTAAGAAAAACGAGTACACGGCGGTGCGGTGATGCGCGTGAGGGTGGCCGGAGAGCACACCATGCGGTGGTGCATCATCCGCTACTCAGCGTGTCATGAGTCACGATGTGGAATTATCTATATTCGCCATAATCGTTTCCTAGGTTTACTTTTCCCCGCGCTTTATCTCTTTTCATCGCTCCATTTTTTTTTCTCCTGGCGCGTGCCAAAACATTCATGTCGACCATCTCTCTCTCTCTTTTGTGGTGGTATAAATGTGTGGGTGCACAAAAACAACAAAAATGCAACATTCGCCAGAAGGGGTAGGAGGAAGAGAGGAGTTGGGGAGTACAAACAATAATAGTAACGTGATTATCGGTGCGGCATTGTTTCGCCACGCGAGGGGCCGGGGCGCGGCTGGGCGCTAGTCTGCTGCTATGGCTGCACCGCCGCTCTGCATTGGCCGCCGATATGCAGAGAGGCCGCCTTTAATTAGAGGTCACGTCGGCCAATACTGGGCCGAGCCCAGTATAGCCGGGCGCTATCGTGTAATGGACAGGTTTGTAGACTGGGTGGGCGCGGGCAGGCGGGCGGCTCGCTCGATATGCAATGTCGAACTGGAGTGTTTTCGTCATTCTCTCTCCGTCTCTTTCTTTCTCTCTTTCTATTCCCGTTCACTCCATTCTTCCTCATGGCTCCTGACATCCCCTGCGGGCATCTAGCGGCGGGCGAGTAGGGTGGTTGGTTCAAGGGGTGAGTGGGGGGGGGAGGGGGAGCCTTGGAAAAGTTTTGCCCTAATAGCTCTCCACGCTTTATCCTAATGCTGCTTGCCGCTGCTGCCGCCGCCGCCCCTCAATTTTGCTCGGTGTGTTGAGTTCGCCGCTCCGCTGTTGTTTTTCGCTCGCTGAATTAATTATGACTGCCATGTTTTTCGACTCGATTACCGGCGGTTAGTCTAATTTCATCATTCTCCCTCACTCCCGCCCCGTTTACGACGGTGGTTGGGATTATTGCTTGCATATTTCCGGCGCAAACATCTTTTTTTGTTCGCCTTGTGTTTTACATTCTCTTTGCTCTTGTTTTACACCTTCCCTTTTCTGTGTGTTGTTGCAGGTTTCACGTTCCCCGGCATCAGAACGACCGGATACCCTTCAGTACTACCAAGCCAGTACGGGTGAGCTTTACTCGTAGCTAGTCCTAGTCGATGCAATTGTACATACACGTTTCCAGGCACCTGTACAAACAGCAATTGGTGTTGTGTTCACTCGAGGAGTGTATATTGAAGCGCCAGTGGCAGCGTACTCTAATTCTTTTTATTCCTTCCTTTTTTTCATTTTCTTCTTTTTCCCCCACATGAGTTTTAATTAACTGCCAGAAAAGCAAAAACTAAGCAGTGCCCCCACCCGAGAGCCAAGCCAATGTAGAGAGATGCGCTACACCAAAATTGTCTCAGTAAATACGTATTCGAGGGTCTACTGATACCGTTTAACGTTTATCCGTGTCAGAATCCGATTGAAGAGCGAGTTGATCATATCTTGAACATTTGCAAAGCGCGCTCGCACTGCCATCTTGCGGTGGCGTCTGGAACCAAACAGCGGCGCTACCCCCTAGCGCAGCCTCCGCCGTGTCGTCTCTGGTATGACTTCTTTGATTTGTCCCGCTTTCCGTTTGGTCTTCTCTCAGGCAGCAGGAGCGTACGGCTGGACCTTGCTCTCTGCGAAGTGAAAATTTGTTGCGCGTTGCTCAGTCAGTGTTTGTTTGCACACGGGTTGTTTTACTTCGGCCCGAGTGTCCACCATGTGGTGTAACGCGTACTCGGCATTTTTCAGGTTACAGTGCACTGCGCACTGCGCGGGGTATTCATGGGGCGCGGGTTTCTTTTGTCGCGGGCGTGTTGTGCAAAAGCGCTGCGGCCGGCCAGCCTCTGGCGAGCCTCACTAACGGTACTTTTGCCCTGTCATCTTATTTTCCGTGTCTCTTGGCTGCCATCCAGACATTCCGTCTCTGTCTCTCTTTCTCCTCTCACTCTCTCTCTCTCTCTCTCTCTCTCTCTCTCTCTCTCTCTCTCTCTCTCTCTCTTTCTGGGTGGCGGTGGCGTGTGCACTAGGGGGTGGCTTCTCTCTACCTTGGCTAGGACGGGTGGTCCATTTCTGTTATCGTGTAGACGTTAGAGCTAAGGTTTGGTTCACTGTACTTTCTCTTCTCTTCCCAAACAATCGCTGCATTAATTCTAGATGTAACTATATAACATCACACAGCAGGAAGCGTGCAGAAAGTGATTTTTTTTTTATTATTATATTATTATTATATTATCTTCAAATATTTATGGTTTATATATTTCCGAAATGAACCCCATGTATTCCTGTGTTCTTGTGGTGACGATTGGTCCTCTTTACAGATAAGATAAAGCATGAAGGCAAACCGGAAGGCAAAGCTCTGGAGGCCAACCCTCGGAGGTGAAACCCCTTGGGGAAGCCTGCAGGAGAGAGGAACACACGAGTATATCATGTAATGAACAGAGCAAGCTTGTGCGTGGGAGTGACGTGATGGTGGTTTTCTTTTCTTTGGAGTTTATTTTTATTAATTGTTTTCAATCATAACTTTTTATTTCTGTTAATTTTGTTTTGTTATCATTGAGTAATATTTAATTTTCATTGCACGGTGATGTTCGTTTGGTGTGATGGGATTTGCGGTAAATGGAAAGTGTATGGTTTTGCTGTAATACTGGATTGGTGTTGACCTTTCTCGCCACTAAGAGCTTGAGGCTATAGAGCAGAGCAGTGTTTTTATACACATTGAACTTAGTCAATCCGTCGTAGCAGGCATACGCGTTTTCAGAGAGGCGGTTAAATTGAATTTTTTGTATTTCTCATCAGTTGTTGTGTTGTGATGGAGAGTGGGGTGGGAAACAGGTATGTATTCATGCAAAACCACACCCTTCCAGTAGCATATACCGAAATCTATTGACAACATTTTCGGGCGGGCCATGCCAAATTTTAATTTTATGCCTTTAAGCGCTCGAGCACTGTAGCCCTGCTCCCTTTAGTATCGTTTTCTGTCGCACTTCCTCCTTTTCGTCCAAATGGCACCAATTAATCGCAGTGGTACTGTTTACGCCTAATATGTTTTTTTCCAAGTTTTCTTTTTTTCCTTTCTTGATTGAGGATTTGTTTTGTTTGTTTGGTAGTGGTGACAGGTGTTTCTGGTGTGCATATAAACTTACAGGGTGCATCAAGAGTGCGTGAGCGTTTCGTAGAGTAGGTAGTGTAAATTTTGATGTGTTCTCTTTGGCCTCTCAACCCGCGCGGACCCGAGTCGTCCTGGCCAGGGCCCGGCCCGACTCGTGATGCATCCTGTTGTAGATTCCGCTGCGTCGTACGACGTCGAAACGAAGCCTATCAGCCGTTTAGAGCTTCACTTGCCTTGTGCGAAGTCCCCTTTGCTGGTTTGCCATAACGCCTAAATATACCAAATAAGTCTCTCATTTTATGTTGTTGTTTTTTTTTAAACGAAGGAACGACATGTAGTAGTTTTATTTTTCTGAATTGATAGTATAAAATTTTAATAGAAGAGTTTACCGTTAACTGACTTATTGCATTCTTACTAACAGCGTACTCTCCTTGCCACTTTGCTAATGGCCTCGCGTGTAGCCCCTTACCCTCTCACCCCTTTTGACAACCCTCCTACGCACAACTCGAGGCGGAACTTCACACAAGGCTTGCCGTCGTTCAAGATGACGTAAACTCGTTTCAGGTGCAACACGGACTCTCGGATGGCCATCGATTGATTAATTGTTTTATGTCATGTTGGACGGCTGGCTTAAACAGTGCAGTCACGGCCTCGGCAATCGCTAGTGTATAGTACAACTCGCGTGTACTGTACATTTCTATCTGTACATATATAATTACGTGACTACATTCATGTCACGACTCTTCCACCTTCTGCACCTTCCTGTTTATGACCTTTGGCCTTGACTGAACTGTACATCTTTTTTGTGGACGATCCGTCCGTTGACTTTGAGTGTGGGAGTTTTGTGATGTGGATTTCTTTTCAATTTTTCTATCACTTCGTACATTTTTATTATTTTTTTTACATTTTGGCTACATAGATTGAGTGCCTCGAACCAAAAGTGTTCTGTGTTCTAGTTGTGTTTGTTTTCTATTTGATCAAGTTTTCCTGTTGTTGTTTTTTTCCTTGGGTGTGATTTACCGTTTTCCACTTTGGAGAGTGCTGTTGTATAATCACCCTTGTAAAAAGAGAGTGTGTGGTGTGTGCGTGGAGGTGCGCGCCTGTGTGGGTAGTTTTAGAGAGGGAGGGTCGGAGGCTGGTCAGTCGACGCACTTGCGTGCCCATAAAGAAAACGGAGTTCTTGTTTCAATCACAGCGATTAACTTAAATATCTGTGCTTAAATTGGCTTCACTTAAGTCCAGTGCACTCAAATGGTTTTTTTTTTTTTTGTTTTTTTTTTTTGCGAGCTCTGTACTTGAAACAGTCACGGTCAAATGGTAATGGTATACCTAATTCAAGCGCATTGGGATCAAAACATGAACTCCCTTTTCAGTTAGCATTTAATTATAATGTGAATCCAACCCGAAATCCCGTGCCCCTTCTGTATAAGCAGCTCACTCGAGCGCGCTCGCTCAACCCTCTTCCTTGCGCCACAGCGCGTCGCCGCAGCCGTTTTTATCCTGTATTGATGTGGCGCCCGCCACACCTGCTAGGTGGCCTGCTGGCCAGGAGGGCGGGGCGGGCGCGGCGTCCCTCCGCTCGCCACAAATAGACGGCTAGCTGTCGCCTCTCCTCCGCGTTGCGTCCTCGAGCGTCGTGGGGCGGCGCTATGCCAGTACTGTTTTTCTCTCCCTGCCTCCCTCTCCCCTCTCGCCCGTCCCTCCAAACCAACCCCTTTCTTTTCCTCTACTTTTCCTTTTTGACCGACAAAAATTTACTTTAACGTGCGCGACTTGTGTTAACAAAGTCATACAAATTCTGTACTAAGTGCGCGACTCGGCGTCGTAATTCTAAAAGTTGATTCCTTTTTGAGGCAATAATTAAAGTCTTGGCGCGTCTTGTTAAATGTCACGTGAAGCAGTGCATCCACTTTCAAACTGTGCAGGCCGCTCGCATCCTGTCGTTGACCAGAGAGAAGGTGACTCGCGTCGACCTGGGCTGGGACCGACCCGACCGCCGGGACGGGGACGGGGTGAAGCGAAAGGGAAAATAAGAGGAGGAACACGTAAAAAGGTCGACAGACGGAATTAGCCTCGTGCGACACGAGGACGCCACGGGACTCTGTCTAGCCTCGCGCAGGGCGTCGCTCCCCGCTGCGGACGCCCTTTCCGTGTTCACCGGGTCCTTAGCACACGCGTGGTCGCGCTGTTCTGCGTCGTCGTCTCTCCCACTCCTATTTTCTGTCCGCTTGATGTATCACTCCGCGCAGGAGGCCTCCTCTGCCGTCTGTAGTATATGGTTTTCTTAGCGTTATTGTTTGAGTCCCCCCTTTCTTCCCCTCTGCGCCACACCACACACTTCACTACCCACGACCACCCACAGTTGGTGTATAGGGAGAGAATCACTGTGAAAAGCATCTTTGTAAATTTACAGTAGTTTTCATAATTTTCATGAGCAAGTGACATTCGAAACGAACGCTGTCATTTACAAAAGGAAACTCTCAAATTTACAAACGTAGTCGTAAATGTAATAATATTGACTTGCCCTCTAAGAAGACCAAGTCGAATTATGTAGCGTTTTAAATTCTTTCTTAATATTACTATGCGAATTCGTAACTTGATCGACAGACACATTGAATTTAATTTTAATGTTCGTAACTTTATACTATAATACCTATCACAAAGAATTTTCCCAAAAAATTTTCACAGTGAATACATCTGCGACAAAAAATTGGTCTTCTGAACTCGGGGTGGCTGTCGTCTTTCACCCTCTGCCCCCCTCCCCCCTCTCTCTCTTTCTCTCTCTCCCACACAAGAAGACCGCCCCGCTCTCTCCCTCTCTCTCGCACTCTGGCTTCTCTCTATCCCCGGCGACGCAGGGGACCCCGCGCGGGTGCGTCCGCATGGCGGTCCTTCCACCCGTGCACTGACCGTTGCCTTACTGACGAGTGCCCCGTGTGTCTGTTGCAGCGTGCCCCCCAGCTACGTGTACCCGGCGCCCTACCTGTCGGCCGGCCCCGGAGTCGTGTCGCTGCCGCCGGCTCAGCTCTCGCACGCCGCCGCCGTCGCCGCCGCCGCCTCCCAGTTCTACGAGTACCAGAACGCGGCCGCGGCCGCCGCCGCCGCCGTCTCCTACCCCGGCCAGTACCCCTCGAGCTTCGAGGGCTACCCCTACACGAGCGCGGCCGCAGGTAAGGGTGGGTAACAAAGCAACTTCCTTCCTTGGCATGACGAACGCGTGAGAGAGTCGAGCAGAGAGTAAGCACGTTGTACTTGAGGCACATGTTGTGGTGTGGATGCTGAATGTGTGTGTGGTTGGGTGTGGTGTGTAAGCCGTCGACGCGATCCTGTACTATGCTGCAAATACAAAAAAAAAAGTGTAGCATGCCATCACTATATTACTGTGAAAAATATGTGTATCACGTATCTCTTTGCAATAATTTTCCCGCTTTAAGATTTTTATAGTATGTGTGAACTGAACGTCGAGGAATTCTAGATCGTGAAGTGTCTAAAGAATTTTGTAAATTTACAATTTAAACCCTGATGGATTTGAGGGATGGTTAGGGATGGGACCAACTTGGATGGGACGTCCTTAGGGCGCCCTAGGGAGACGATATCCTGATTTGTTTCAACATGGAACCCCTAAGGATATCCTGGGGATATCCTTGGCATAGGACTAGGGATATCCAAAGGACCGAAATGGGACACATGGGAATTCCTTCAGAATTTAGGGGAAAATTTAATTTATTTTAATGATTACAGCATGTCCCAACCTTCGGGAGCGCCCACCCTCGCGAATTCGCGCCGTCCTTTCATTTTAATCTCAGAATACCTTTATCTCTTACCTGGACTCGAACCTCTGACATCCGATTGGGATGCCGCAGCCTTATCCACTGGACCACGTGGACGATGTTACGAGGATAGGTCCGGATCCTAGCCTGTATCTACGCCTCTGTGTCATCCCTAACCCATCCATAATCCATCCCCTATCCATCCTTGGATCTTAAGTTATTTTTTTTTGTCCCGGGATCATCCCCATGCTATCCCTAATCCATTTTTGGATCTTAAGTCTACTTTTTCCATCTCTGTGTCATCCCTAAACTATCCTTAATCCATCCCCTATCCATCCTTGGATCTTAAGTTGTTGTTTTTTTGTCCCGGTATCATCCCCATGCTATCCCTAACCCATTTTTGGATCTTAAGTCTACTTTTTCCATTTCTGTGTCATCCCTAAACTATCCTTAATCCATCCCCGGATTCCAGTCTCTATATTCGCTACTTTATCATCCCCAATCACCGTAATCTATCCCGAACATATGTCTATTTATGTAATATTCGAGAAATGAATCTGATTCACATCCCCATGCAATCCCTTTTTCTCCTCATTACATGCAACTATTGACGCATGTGTGCCTAGATATTCCTTATATCTCTCTGTCCTTATGGATTCCCTCTATCTTCATGTGTCCCTAGGGATTCCCTCTATATTCATGTGTCCTTAGGGATGCTAGGGGGACAGAATTAGGAAAGGATAGACCGAAAGTCTAGTGGGACCCCGGTGGATCCCTAGGGATGGTACAGGGATGACAAATCCCTAAGGATTTGAGAGGGACATCGATGGAAAGGAGGCCCTAAAGGTGGCCTCTTTAGGGACCCCTTGGGGAATGCACAGAGATGGTTCTAGGACAAGAAGCCCTTAGGACTCCTCAGGGATGGCGTTTCCTTGAACATCCTTGAGGATAAGGAAACCCTAGGGACTTGCGTAGGGCGTCACAAATACGGGAAGGACTCCCCAGGGATTCCATAATGACTCCCTAGGGATTTTGATGGATCCAAAGTAGTCCCAAGGGGTTCCTACCTCACATCCCTCCTCCATCCCCAAATCCATCAGGGAAAATCGTAACTTTACAACATTTACCATGGAAAGTTTTTACGTAAAACCTACAGATATTTTTCACAGTGTACCGGGTGTTTCAGTACACGCGCCGGAGTACTGCGGGTTTACCTACTCACTTCGGCCGAGAGGCGCCGTGATGCCTGCTGCCCAAACGAGTACGTGAGGCCCGTGTTACACGCATTCGGGTGATGGAATGTCACACACTGTGTGTTTGTAGCATAGCATTGGCTTGCGCCATATCGTTGTGGCTGGAGGGTGCAAGAGGAGGAAGGTTGTTTATTTTTGTCATGGGTCATGTTTAACACATTATACCCATTGTTTCAACCCTCACCTTTCCTCACTCCAGCCAGTGTTTTGTGGTTGATATTTTTTGTGGTTATTTTGATCGCTGAGGACAGTGTGGCTGTGTCCTTCAGTTTGTTTCTTTGTTTTTTAAAAGTTCAACACTTAAATGTCCTTAATGTAGGTGGCTGATTAGCCTCTTTCTTTCATTTTCGTAGTCATACTGTACCGACTGTACCGCATGCGCGTGTTGTCGTCTTGTTTGCTCGGGGTCGTAAGGCTTGACTTAACTAACCGCTGGGCCACTATTGGCCCAAGGTTTTTGGGCCCCCCTGGTCAAAGACTTCACGCCTGCTTGTGCTCGTACACCACGTACACTAGATCTACGAAAGTGATGAGAAGCCCATCAGCGGCCTAGTATTAGGGATGCATAGTTCTAAAGCACAAGTCTCTCTTCTTGTTGCTAAGTTGTTGCTTTTCCTGATTGAACTCTGCCATTGTGTGTTTGTGTGTGTTTCAAATATTCCTTTCTGACTACCTTGCACGAGACTCCATTGTAGTTCAACTATATGGTTCATACTTTCTAGCTATTTCTTTAAGTCCCATGTGACAATAAACTTCTGCCTATGGCCATACAAAAAAAATTCAGTTGTCATTTTTCTGCAAGTCAAGCTGCAAATAGAAAGAATTTTAAGGGTTAAAACTACTAACAAATATGAACACACTATTTATCTGCAAAAGCCTTGATGGGGACGTTTTTTTCTTTGTTGTTGGGCAGATTTGTCACTGGCTGCGGAATACTTGTCGTGGAAAACAGGTGGGTCATATATTAGTACATGCACTCTTTAGACTGCTTTGGGACAAAAAATAATATTAATAAGCGGTGTGAACTTAATTTTTAAACAAAAAGAAAAGAATAAAATACATTTATTTTTTCTTGTTCCCTTTCTACCTTCCAAGCATGAAGTGTTCAGTATCTTTCACTTATTTGTGTGCTGCTCTGTGTGTTAAAGTATGTGTGGTAATTAGTCACATTTTAAACATGTGTGGTACTTCTCATACTAAGGCCCTCCTACTGAGGTGTTATATTATTTTCTGGTTGGTAATATCTTAGTCAATGATGCTGGCTGGAAATCATACCACTGTTTGTTTTCACAAAATATTAATCACAATGCAAAAACTGAAGTCAATGGGATGAATGGTTTCAATGTGAAGTGTGCTAGCTTTGCCATGGAAGGACTGTCTTGTTACCATTTTAGCACAAGAGGGGTTGTTAAATTATTGAATCATACGGGGCATTCAGGGGGAACCTGTTCGAGCTCGCTTCCAAAATGTTGCTTATTGTATTTGCAAATGCGATACATGTCGGTGTTGGTCCCTCTGACCTTTGAAAGAAGCAGCCCTTTGGAAGCTCGACTCCCCCGCAGCGACGGCCGTGCCTAACGTTCTCCCTGTGTTGCAGGTGCCGCAGCGGCTAGCTACATGACGCCCTACACCTACGCCACCCTCCCCCAGTCCGCTTCGGGCCTGCCCTCGGCCGCCAGCGCCAGCGCCTTCTCCGGCCTGTCGCCCTACCAGTCGGCGGCCGGCGCATCGCTACAGGAGGCGCGCCTGCAGTAGTACCGGGACCAGCTCCATGGGCCTTCCCTACCCAGTTAGATTAATTCTAGCGGGGCCTTGTGGGGCGCGGCCAGCGCGACCAGCCGTCCGGGAGGACACCCTGGGCTGAGCGCCAGCCCGACCACGGGCCCCATATCAAATTCATATATTTGCTCACACGCTCTACCAAATTTATAATACCAAAGTGTTGAAGTGCCCTATTACTTTCTCGCTTGACGCTGAGATGGGATAGTGGCATCCCCATTCGGAGACCTTATGTGGTGTTACGATAATGTGGTAAAGCAAAGTCTGGGTCTCGCAGAGGTATGTCCCCTAACTCCCTCCTGGCGGCATTGTTTCTTTGTTGATTACATAAATTTTATCTCTCATATTGTGCTGTGCAAGTTGTTAGTTAGGAACACACGCCAGGAGGGTTGTAGGCACTTTGATTCTGGAGTTAACAGGAGTATTTCAATCTTTACATGAGATTTTGCAGTAGGTGACTGTCCTTGATAGAAGGCATATGTTATTTTAATGATTTTATGACTATTTATGATGTGGAGAATCTCATTGTAAAGGTTGTATTTAAAATAAGTTATTATTATTTTAGGCTTTGTCAGGGCGGTCTTTTAATCAGTAAGTGCATACACTACCATAAGAAACTTTTATTCCGTTGATGTCTTTTAATTGGGGTTATTATATATAATGTATATATCTATATATATCAGCTTCACCTCTTGAAGTATAACTGTTTATGCCTTTATTCTGTCTGTGTTATCAGATGGCTTGCCTGCTGATTATGAATTCTGCCAATACTATCATCAAGGTGGTAACATGTTGATGTTGAGTGATTCTGTTTTGTGTCCATCTCCACTTGTGGTGTGAAAGTGATTGAATGAATTGATAACTCAATTGAAATACTTTTATTGGGATTATTCCTCCCTAATGCTCAGAATCAAAGAAAATAGTACTTCAAGCGTTTTTTTACAGTCTGTTGATGCAGCTGTTGTTAGGAGTTGTTGTTGATATATGTGTTATCTAGTCTGTTGTAGAGTGTGGTCGGAAGGAGCATGGGGTTGTATATGATTGCCTTCTTGATTCACTAATCAGACATTAGAATGGAAGTACTTAGCGCGTGTTTGATTGTTGAGAGAGCCACCCCTAAGAGTGGAGAAGCATTACTGTTATTCATCGACCTCCCTAAACTGTTATATATGTATATGAGTACTCTATGTTTCCCCTATTTGACCAATGGCTTGTAGAATTGCTTATTATTGAGACATATTGGTACAAATTTTACTTGTAGTGGTATTGGCAAAAAAAAAGTGTTCAAGATATTTTGCGGCAACTCGGATAAATATTCTCTTAGCTGCATCTAGTGATACATTTCAATTCTATTTTATACCAATTTAAAACGCCAACTAGAGCCCTTCTGAGTCTTTGTTTCGTATAATTTGTTTTTATGATTTATAGTTACAATTTTGTGAACTCTAGTCCAAGCAAAATACCAAAATGGTCATAGATAATGTAAGATCTATATGTCATTTTAGTTTAACATAATGTAATGTTGATATTATTGTTGCAATTCAGTTTACCTGAATGAGTGATAAGTTTAGGCAAACTCAATTTTCATTTTAAAGGTATATGGAATACATAGCAAACTGTCCCTTAAACCGCAGATAATTCAACTAGTTCTTGTTCTTTTTCTCTTCTTGAAAGTGCATTGGTGATAGTACATACAGAAAGCGGAATCGTTCTCATGCTATATTCCCAGTGATGAGACCTCAGCAGTACCTTTCAACTGCTTCTATGCCCTTGCTCTTACCATTCTCCCCATTTGTAGGTCCCATTTTGGTATGGCGAATGTAAATTTAATGTAGGATTCATTCTGTTAGATGTATGTAAATTATTTTTAAAAAGTCAAATGTAGACACTTAGTAATAGGTTGTAATTTAAAGACAATCTAATCAACATTTAACTTTTGATTACAAGAGAACTATTAGTGTTATAAAATTTCTCAAGCCCATATCACAGTAGAAGACTAATATTTATCATTCTCTTGTACATAGCCAATAGCATATTTTCGTATGCTCAATTATAGAAAGAGGAAAAAAATAAATTTCATGTCGTTTGCCATTGATGCTATATGACAATATTTCTCCTTTCTAGCTGAGTTTCTTACTGGAAAAACATATGTGACAGTTGTAACTTAAAATCCTTTACATTGGTGTTAATATCAAGATATTCTCAATAGTGTAGTCATTGCATTTCAAACTGAAATAGCTTTTACTAAACTTGTTTCTCAACCTTGGCAAAAAACATCTTCTTTAAGAAGATAGACGTAAAGAAGCATTCATTCAGATATGCATCTGTTCTGAAAAATACATTAGTCGAGGCTTTCTTTAGGTAAATTTTAAATGTCTGGGATGAACATGGGTAACTTTGTTCTTCATTTACAATTTGTCGTTGGAAGTGGCTGATCTCACGGCGGACGCTAATTTGCAATGCCTGCGCAAATCATATTTTCTTAAAATTTCCTGCATATCATTGCAGGTTGTCAGGTATACTTAAGTAGCAGTAGCAATCATTCTAAAGTGTCTCTAAGTGTTACTGTAGTTGAACATCACTTGTCTTGTTTATGGTTTACATCATGAATATTTTTGGTTACATACAAACGTATATATCGATCTATATATTTAATATAGATATATACATATATCTATTGTCAGATCCTTTTTTGTGCAATAAATCAAATTTAAACAGCAGTTGCACTCAAATTATTGTCTGTTCTTGCATGACTTCTCTAAAAAAAAATGTGTTGCAAACTTTCTAGAGTCCGTTGTCTCCCACTGTTCCCCTTCTGGTCATTGTACGTCACAATATGTCAAAAACTATCTTTCAGTTTTGCTGCTGGTCATTTAAATTTTTGTTTAAATTCTGTTACAGCACATACACTAAATTTTGTAGAGCTTGACTCATTGTGACTGGGTTTTTCACTTTTTATATTTTTTCACAGAATAAGTGTACCACTTACTTGGACCATGTTGTAATTGTATTGCCTTAGCAAACATAGTATATTTTATCATTGATACTGTATGCACATATTTTTCAGTGCACCAATATAAATCTGAAAAATCCGTCCAACTCTCTGAGTCGTGTGAATTTAATAATAAATGAGGTCATGATTATAGGTGTCTGTACAGCACTGTTTTTAGAGCATTGGTCTTATGAACTGAAATATTCCTCTAATTGGTGTCTAGATATTACGATTCCACACTTAGCTACATGGTAATTCTCATTCTGCACTTTTAAAATTATATTCTGTTATTGAGTTCCTCTCTTCAAAGCTCCTCTAGTGTTTAACTTATCATTAGTCATGTTTGGTTGGAGTATCTTATGTAATATCATCAATGTGCACATTTGTTTCTTGTTGGACTATACCCTTGTTATTGTGTGTACTCCAATGTACATAATGTTCTGCGGTTTATGGTTTAGATAAAATACTTAAAAGTTCGTTAAGATACTCCACCAACCTAATGTACTAGTTCTTTTCTTACTAGCTATTATTGCTAATTGCCATTGAAATACTAAATGCTGCAATAAGCAATCACAGCAATCATGGTTGTGTATAACAAGTATTGTTTTCTTCTTTTGACCTATGTCAGTGATTTTCTTAATTGGGATATCACAAAAAAAATTGTTCAATTTTTGTATAGATCTTTTCAAACTAGATCTTTTCTTTTTCTATAATGTTATTTAAATACTTAAATTATCATATATCAATTATAAGAAAGGCCATTCTGAACACCTTCTCTTCTCCTGCTTGAATGCAGAGGACTATGGGAGTGTGTACAGGCTTGGCTGCACTAGTTTAGAAATTTCACATTTGTGAAATTTGTTGTAGATAGCAAATTAAATAAAATATTCAATAATAAAAAATAAAAAAATAAGGTTGTTATTTTCATAATTCCTTACAATGCCCTCAAGAAAGATAAAACAGACTGGTGATGTCAGAACGCATCATGTCTCCCCAGTTGGCATAGTAGAACCTGACCAACTATGTACTTGCTTCAGATGGCAGGAGTACAATGGGTTGCCTTCTCACCCGGCGGCGTAACCCCTGATACAAGGTTCTAGTCTAGCTCAGCTATAACAATCCAGTGATTCAAAATTTTGATAAGAGGAAAGAGAGTGAGACCTTGAGTGGTAGTCTCTCTAAACTTAGTATTTGTCGATATTTTTCTGAGCAAATCAAATTTGGTGTGTTTTGAACAAAATTGTCGGGTCTTGATTTTGATGTGGATTTACAGGCGAAAGTGAGGGATCGGACCGGTCGAAATCCCCTCTAGGTTCAGTTTCCTCAGGAGCAAGAGATTGAAGAGTTGGGAAGAGTACGATGGGTTGCCTGGGCACCAGGCGGCTGCGGGCAAGATACAAGTTTGTTACTCGACAGGAAAACTGACCAAGGCACACAATATATTACGCTGTTCTCAGCTAACTTCTGACTGACAATCTAGGGCATTTTCATCTTTTACATTTTCCCTTTAAACCCTTATTCGAAAAAAATCATTTTAATGTCAATACGTTGCATGTGGCCGTGCATTCCAGGTGCTGGACAAACCAGCAAAGCTTGACATATTGTGGTCGCTCCACCCTAAATGTGTTAAGAATCAAATATTTGTCAATATTGTTGTGGGCATGGCTTGCGTCTGGGCCGTGGGCTGGGACCGCAATCCGTTGGACACAGCTGCAAACTGAACAAAAGCGTTAGCGGGTCCAAATGACTGCTGTGAGACCTCCACGCTGACACCGTGGACCCGATATTAACAGTCGTCCCCTGACGTGCTGCTTTTGTGACAAAGTGCCCCGCTGTCCGACCAAGACCGAGCAGGCCCACACGGGAAAAATATCTTCAGTCTTTGTCGGAAAATAAGCATTACCCAGTGCGAAACGTTATCGGAACGACATCGAAAAGTAAAAATTGTCATTACGACATCCTTCCGACATGGTCTCTCATACTGTCCTTCCACAATGCATAGTTTCGGTTTTCCTGTTTGTTTTGTTTTTGGTTCCAAAAAAATAAAATAAAACTCTCAGTGTATTGTTCTGAGCTTGTACGTCTCAGAGCTAAAAAAAACTGCCGCAGAGTTCTTGTCCCGGGAAACTACGTTTTGAACAGTACGACGTCCTCCCCCCCCTTTTTTTGTCTTCTTTTCGGCTGCCCCATTTCCTTGACACGACTTTTTAGCTAAAGCGAGATAAACTGTCACAGCAAGACCAAAATTAGTCGGACGGGGCGGAGCAAGGATTATATCAGCTCGGGGCGGGGTGGGGCGGGGCCCGCACACCACTTACAGGTGCCTAATGATGCAGGTCGGGTGGTGCGGCGGGTCCTTAGAGCGGCCTTGGCCGGCCTTGGACTCGCTCTAGTCCGGCGTGGCGCCTCCTGTGGGTAACTGGCCGGTGTCCCTCTGGCGTCTCCGACATCCACCTTATCAGGACGCTTCAGACCCGGTGCGCGGCTGCACCTGCACGTCAAGGGCCGTTGTGACGTACAGAGCGCTTGATTATGTTTTCAGCAAACGATGCTCTTATTTTTTTCGCGGTCGGCCTACATTATTGTTATTCAATTCATGTGACGTCACATTCTTCCACTTGGTGAAAACTGTCACATTCTTTTGAATGCGACACCGTCACATAATTTCTTTTGTGACTGTAGAATTTACCATAAAACTTGACACGGTTGTGAGTCACGTTGAAACAAATGTGACAATTGTTGTGTGTTTTTTTTGTTTTTTTTTTCATTTTTGCTAATGTGACGTCACATGATGAATTGAATAACAGTGTACGTATTCGACGTGTGATCGGGGAGAAGTGGCTGGTGCGCGACGAACAGCGGATGCAAAGAAGATGATGGCTCGTGGACCTTTATGACCCCGCCACACCCCGGTTAGGTGCCTACCCCGCCCCGCCCCGCCCCGCCACACCCTTTCCATGGATATAGCCGGACGCACGGAGCCGGGCTACGGTCCGGGACGACGTGCAGCGTAAGGCGAAGGCCAGGAGAGCACCGCCTGCAGTCTTTTATAAGACCGCTTCGATCCGCTCGCGACTACAAATCAAATCAAAACTACGCGCTGCTGGTACATTATATGGAGACGGCGGTCGCAGGGCCTTGGTCCGTCCGCCTCGACCCCGCCGCGTTCAGTAGTGCCGCCGCCCGGCTTTGCCAAAATGAAAATTATTGGCGAAAGAGCGATTGGCAAGGCGATCCGCCCGCGCCCTGGCCTACCCTCCGGCGGGGCGCTCGGCGCGGCGCGCCCTGACCTCAGCACATCGTTAATGCTTCGTTCCGGTCCGGCCGGCCCGGCCCGCCAGCCCCGAATTGTGTTGCGGGCCATGTAAGCCTTCCTCTGGGAGGCAAATGAGTCGCGAGTGCAGGGCGTGGTACAGAGGAAGTGTGGCCGTGGCATTTGGTGGTGATCACAGGGCTGTCCGTCCAACAGGCGGACATGCCTTTGCCCCGGACCGGACCACTATACACGACTCGACACTCGACGATACACTGGAAATCCAAGTGTACGAATGTCGCACACCTGCAGGTGGAGTGAAAATGTTCACACTGGCAGGTTTGTGAATGATCATTTACACACTTTGGGCGGGTAAATGACTATCTGTTCAAGTGAACGAACCTCTATTAGCTCACTTTCAAGTGTGTGAGTAGTTTGTCGCACACCCGTAGACGTGTAATTTTTTTTCACTCTCTTGAGATGAATGACATTTTTGTATACATAGATTTCCAGTGTACATACCACACCAAAGAAAAGAAAAAGAGAGTTAAAGACCGTATTTATCGGGGTAGGTGGCGAATTTCGATTACAATCAGCCAAGAAAATATTTTTCTATGATTTCTGCATCCTCTGCCAGTAGTCCGCACATACCACTGACATCCACGTCGCACAGTAGTGTGGCGGTTCAGCGTACTGCGTGTGCACACAATGCTGCGACGGTAACGTTCCTCCGCGCGTTCCTCGTTCCGCATGGAACAATGCCGCATACAAATCCATAGCGGCACGCCCGACCTCGATGCTCGCAACACGAATATTTCGGATATTATTAGGTCGGCTTTTTGCTGCTCTCCGTGCGGTCCGCCCATCCCCATATTCCGCGCCCCCAAGGCTGCCCGTCTCTGAGGTTCTCAGTTGACCCCGTATTTGAATTGCGATCCCGTGCGAGTCTCGCGCGCAACCCTCCCCTTCGGAATTGTGAGCAAAGCGGAGCACGATACAGCCGCCCCGGAAATTCTCGATGGCGTTGGTCAGCTAACTCATCCCACCGACGACGTCCCCCTCCTCCCGACCCCTGAGCTCGAGTTTTACTTTTTTCCCCCTTAACATTTTCTTGTTTCGTGCGTCCATCCCCGCCTTGTCCCCCTCCCGCCCCAACCCCCCACCCCTCGCAGAGTGACCAAGGCCGCCCGGGCCTGGTCGGCAAGTCCACCTCCCGAGATGTAACATGTGAGGGGCGGGGAGGGGAGGGGGTCCACAATAAAACCAGTTCGCGGGCCAGGAGGGGCCAAGAGGCCCACTCACTCACTCACTCCAGCAGGCCGGGCGGCCGGGCCCCAATGCGTCCTGGAGACGCCTCTCCAGCCCACAGCTCCAAGAGCATCCAGCATCCATCCGCGCGCGCGGTGCTCCTGCTGAAAACGTCTCTCCAGGAAGCGTCGCGAAAAGGATGGCACGGCAGACTCTCTGTAGTTGATAAGAGAAACAATAGAAAAGTACAATTGAAAAACAACAAATGGAAGGGTGAGGGGCTTATTGGGCCAGTTGTGCGCCGCGTGAGTTCCCTCAGGGCATCTTCAGCATATTTCTTTTTTTTTTTTGTTATTTTTAGGAGTGGTGGCTGCGGCTTCGCTTTCTTGCGTCATGCACACATGATGCATTGCAGTGCAGTGGGAGGAGGGGCTTTTAAACACATCCAGAACACATCTATCCTACTTACCGACAAATACGTATTCCGCTTCCACTGGGCGCACGTGATGCAACGAGCTCACCCAGAGAGCGAAAGAGAGCGAGCGAGAGAGAGCGAGCGAGAGAGAGAGAGAGAGAGAGAGAGAG